GTGTGTTTTGTATTGCTAAATTGTGTACTGACAATATTGCAGTGTGTGTTTGTATTGTCTATTGTCTGACAATACTGCAGTGTGTGTTTGTAGTGTCACATATACTGCAGTGTGTGTTTGTATTGTCACATTGTGTACTGACAATATTGCAGTGTGTGTTTTGTATTGTCACATTGTGTACTGACAAATATTGCAGTGTGTGTTTGTATTGTCACATTGTGTACTGACAATATTGCAGTGTGTGTTTGTATTGTCACATTGTGTACTGACAATATTGCAGTGTGTGTTTGTATTGTGTACTACAATACTGTGTACACACTGTGTACTGACAATATTGCAGTGTGTGTTTGTATTGTCACATTGTGTACTGACAATATTGCAGTGTGTGTTTGTATTGTCACATTGTCTACTGACAATACTGCAGTGTGTGTTTGAATTGTCACACTGCGTACTGACAATATTGCAGTGTGTGTTTGTATTGCTATATTGTGTGCTTGCAATATTGCAGTGTGTGTTTGTATTGCTACATTGTGTACTGACAATATTGCAGTGTGTGTTTGTATTGCTACATTGTGTACTGACAATACTGCAGTGTGTGTTTGTAGTGTCACATTGTGTACTGACAATATTGCAGTGTGTGTTTGTAGTGTCACATTGTGTACTAGCAATATTGCAGTGTGTATTTGTATTGTCACACTGTGTACTTGCAATATTGCAGTGTATGTTTGTATTGTCACACTGTGTATTTGCAATACTGCAGTGTGTGTTTGTATTGTCACACTGTGTACTTGCAATACTGCAGTGTGTTTTTGTAATGTCACATTGTGTACTAGCAATATTCCAGTGTGTCTTTGTAATGTCACATTGTGTACTGACAAAAGTGCAGTGTGTGTTTGTATTGTCACATTGTGTACTGACAAAATTGCAGTGTGTGTTTGTATTGTCACATTGTGTACTGACAAAATTGCAGTGTGTGTTTGTAATGTCACATTGTGTACTGACAACTGCTGGTTTGTGTTCTAACAACATTATCTAAGATGATAACAGTCCATCAGTATTAGATAGCTGCAGACGTCACCTATACATGAACATCAAACAGCTGCATATGAACAACACACAGCTGCATATGAACATCATACAGCTACATGTGAACTTCACACAGCAACATATGAAGTTCACACAACTTCACATGAACATGACACATCTACACTTGAACATGACAGCTACATATGAACATAACACAGCTACACAGGAACACCACACAGCTACATATGTTCATCACACAGCTGCATATGAACGTCACACAGCTGCATATGAACGTCACACAGCTACATATGAATGTCACACAACTACACATGAACATGACACATCTACACATGAACATCACACAGCTACATATGAACGTCACATAGCTACATATGAACATCACACAGCTACATATGAATGTCACACAACTACACATGAACATGACACATATACACATGAACATCACACAGCTACACATGAATATCACAAAGCTATATATATATATGAACATCACACAGCAACATATGAACATCACACAGCTACACATGAACATCACACAGCCACACATGAACACCACACAGCAACACATCAACATCACACAGTTACATATGAATGTCACACAGCTGCATATGAATGTTACACAGCTGCATATGAACATCACACAGCCACACATGAACACCACACAGCTAAATATCAACATCACACAGCTACATATGAACATCACACAGCTGCATTTGAATGTCACACAGCTACATATCAACATCACACAGCTACATATGAACATCACACAGCTGCATTTGAATGTCACACAGCTACACATGAACACCACACAGCTGCATATGAATGTCACACAGCTACATATGAATGTCACACAGCTGCATATGAATGTTACACAGCTGCATATGAACATCACACAGCTGCATATGAATGTCACACAGCTACATATGAATGTCACACAGCTGCATATGAATGTTACACAGCTGCATATGAACATCACACAGCTGCATATGAATGTCACACAGCTACATATGAATGTCACACAGCTACACATGAATATCACACAGCTACACATGAACACCACACAGCTTGATAACATCTGTCCTTCTTTTCAGCATTGACTGACTGTAAACTCTGCTGGAAAGTTCTGGTTGTTCGTTCACTTTTGAGCTTTAGCTGTGTATTTGACAAGTGTTTACATGCACAGCTGTTTTACAGATTTGCCCTTCAGAAATATATTTCAGAATATAAAGAATGTGTGTCTGTTTTCAAATTGGAATGTACATTTCTCTCATTCTTTTGACTATCTAATACATAACATATATTTTTATATCTTAACTGTATGATTATGAGATTATAAACTGTAAGTGTATGATTATGAGATTATAAACTGTAAGTGTATGATTATGAGATTATAGTTCAAAATTGTATGATTATGAGATTATAGACAATAATTATTAAGAATAATATATTTTCAGTGAATTTTCAAATAATCTGCAGTTCTTGAGATTGTTATTTATCTTTGGGAGGATCTAAAGTGATGTGGGCTGGTTAGTTTGTTTACTTTATGTAGTGTTCTTGAAACAAACTGCTCTTGCAATGGGGTGTTCTTGCAATTTAGTGTTCTTGTGATGTAGTGTTCTTGCAATGAAGTGTTCTTGCGAGGTAGTGTTATTTTAAGGTAGTGTTCAGCTAAGTCAAACTATCAGCAGAATGCAAGTATCAATACCAAACACTGACATCAACATATTCAGGAAAGTTATTTATAAACATATCAATGCATATATAAAAAAGTAGAAGTGATGGCACAGTTAGACAGTTTATGTGTGTACATATGTGCTTATTTAATCATTGTCTTTTATGGTCAGAATACAGTAAGACAGTGTATCATCATCATCATCATCATCATCATCATCATCATCATCATCATCATCATCAGTGTAAACATGTATACATCTGGTTACTTTATTGTTGTCAATTATGGTGACAACATAGTCAGACAGTGTATGTATGTCCATATGTGACCATTGCTACCCTGTCATAATGTGACTATATGTGGCTATTGCTACCCTTTCAGAATGTGACCATTGCTACCCTGTCAGAATGTGACCATATGTGTGGCTAGTCACTAGTGCACTCTGTACAGAAATAGAAATCAGCAAGTGCATATCCAAGGGTACAGTATGCAGTCAACCATGTCTTGGCATGTTTGTACAAGTGTACAGTGTCTAGTCAACAATCTTGGCATGTTTGTACAAGTGTACATTAACTAGTCAACCGTCTTGGCATGTTTGTACAAGTTTTGGGGCAATTTAAAACAACAGTTGGAGGAAATTAAAAATATTTATTAAACAATTACAGGGAAGATAGAAACATTTACTAGGCAACAATGATACACAATACACATACAACATAGGCATGAAGCACATAGAAAATATATATATAAACAATTTACTTAACAATACCTATGAAGTACAGACAACAGTCATACAGTGCACACACAGTGTATGTACCGCATAAATACAATAAACATACAAAATATATATGACATACATAATACTCACAAAGTTACATGCAACTTACACACAGCATAATCAGTTAACATACATGTCTTAAAATACATACATATGAGGCAGCTTACACTAGAACCAACAGATGTAGAATAATGTGACTAACATACACACACATATCATACATTGACAACTGTCTATGTACATCATATCTGATACAAAATTGACATAAAGCTCCTCTGAGTTCAGGATAAAATCAGAGCAAAGACATGGGAATATTAGCATGGCTGCAAAAATCACAGGACACGAATGCATAGTTGAAGCTGTGGTTGATTTGATTCCACAAACAACATGCCGTCACAGAACCATTAGGCCACTCTTGACTTGTGGGGAACTATGTACAGTAATACCATAATCAGGGAGCATCTGTCTCAACATCATCATCCTAACTTTCCACTCGTGGTCACTAGACACAGTATCACAATCACTAAACTAGCCTGAATCACAACATCCCAATGACTGACTGACTGACTGACTTTCTACCCCACCAGGGCATCACACAAGCGATAAACACCCGATGACACAAAGTGCCACCATGCGGATGAGGATCGCCGTGGAGAGGTCCCAGAAACCGCGTTCAGACATTTGGCCATATGTATGGTCTGCCTATATTGCGGCCCCTGGCAAAAGCCAGAGTAGGGCTTCAAATGACAAAAAATTTCGTCCTGAAAAGGACGAAACTGGAAATAGGTTAACATCCCAATTGTGGCTATCCCCTCATAGCAGCTAAGGTATATATATATATATATATATATATATATATATATATATATATATATATATATATATATATATATATATATATATATATATATATATATATAGAGAGAGAGAGAGAGAGAGAGAGAGAGAGAGTAATACAATCACCATGACAACATTTCTGACTGTACGTTATTAGCATGGGAGACAATTACAACACCAGCCAACCAAATTCCTTGTTATTTCCCTTTGACAAATGACGTTGCAATGACAGTCTGCCTGTGGCATTGGCAGTTACGTTGGCCCACAGCCTTCTGTCCCGTGTGTTGTCAGTCATTTCTGATTCAGATTTTAGGTCACGAAATCAAGTCAGACTCTGTAGTGTTCTATTTCCTGGTCTCTCCCTGCCTCTCCCTCTGACACATTTTCTATTGTTAGGAATATCTATCTTTCCAGTTTCATCTAATCAGTTTGCTGCAATTGTTATTTACTGGACGTCAGTGACTGGACCTGACTGGAGTCACCTTCCAAAAACTGACCAGGACTGTCCATGGACAGACCACGGTCAGTTGGTTTTTGCTAAATGTCCATCCTATTGACCCCTGTAACTGGCTATAAGGTCGCGACACCTGCCACCACCACCCCAACAACTGACAGCAGCCACTTGTCAGCGGTAATCTTCCCCAGCCCCCAATGACCGAGAGACACTTATTTACCAAACTTCATCTTGCAAGCGTGAGACCTGAGCTGTGAACACTGAACTGTTTGGTCATAGTACAGGACATTGTCCTTGCGGTCCTGAATCTGGAATCGGACATGCAGGTGGGACATGCATGTGCCCAAACACTGACGCCCTATGGGGTCGATTGTGTTGTCGACTGAGGTGAGAAAGTCATGGCAGTAGACGCTGTCCTGGTCCACGTACTCTTTGGTCTCTGTCTGGTACCTGTCTGGAATATTCTCCAGCACGTTGGTCTTGAGACAGGTGTTGTTGCACAGCATTTCGTCATAGACGATCTGCGCACTGACCGACTTCTCGAAAGCGCAGATAGAACACACGCGCATCTTGTGCTTGACCAAGTCGAACTGGCTTGACGGCGACTGGACTGAGCTGGTCAGTAGGTGGTCAAGATCCACGTAGGTGACCTCTGGGTAGTCGGGACAGTTGATGTGGACGATGTCATTGACGATGTTGCCTCGGACGGTGCCGATGTCCACTGTGCTCTGATAGGAGCTGAGGGGTAACGAGGAAGGGCAGAACGCGTGAACTTTGAGATCCACCTGGTCGGGCAGGCCCGGCGGGAAACTCTCAGACAAGCGTCTGGTGAGGCTGCGCAGAAGTCCGTACTCTGTCACAGAAGGCAGATTGTCGGCCGAAGCGATACCGGATACGGCCACGCAGGCGGTATGTAGGGCGTTCAAGATGGCGCTACAGCTATCGAACACAATTCCTAACAGTTGATGGCGGCCAAGCTTCCTTCTGACCTTATCTGCCATGTCTGAGCAGAGACTGTGATGCTCCTGGAAAACCTGGTCACTGATGATGTTGCAAAGTTCCGTGAACAGGCGAGCAGACGAAGCAGCGTAGGCTTCTTTGATCATTGTTGCATTATCATTGTCTACCTGTCCGGGCAAAGGTGGGTAATAATTTGATACCACTCCAGTATCTTGCTCGTAACACGGGTCGGATTCTTTAGGCCAAGGTAAGGCAGCCATTGTAATGGGTTTCTCAATGCCTGTGATCACCGACTGAACAAAGGCGCCATCGTAGGGGTATTGTCCACCACATTTAGTGACCATCACAGGGAAACGAGAGAAACATTTGGAAGACCTTCGTCGACTGCCGCTCATTGGGTCATCCTTGAAAGATCTCAGATCCTCCATGACTTTGGATATTTGCCTCAGCAGGTAGGATCGGACGCCAACGTCCACCAGAGCCAGGTGAGAGATGGGGCCCTTGGTCTGTTGTGTGTAGGGTTCAAACATTTTAATCTCCATGTCCATGTTGTTGGCTGACCAGTCGTAGCTGACGATAACTCCACTGGGCAGAATCACCGAGGCCAAATTGCGCTGACCCAGAAAGCGAACGGACTTGGTGACACCGCCAGAATCAGTGACACTCAGAGAATACACCGACTTGACAGTTCCGTCGCTTTTCTTGGGACCAAACACCTGCACGACGGTTCCGTTCGTGAGTGTGGAGACGAAAAGTCGAAAATCTCCCGGGTGCCAGTAGGCATCAAATTTCTGGATTTTTAATCGCCACCGGGTCGGGGATATACGGCCTGGGCTGGGGATGTTGGTAGGTACCGCTGGCTGGGATAATATAGGTCGGTTGTTTGGTGGCTCGGTCAGTGTCGGGATCAAGGAAGGAATCACTTCTATTTCTCCCGACAGAGGCTGGGTGTCCGTTGAGCGTGGGCTCTGCGTCCCTCATGAGAACGGTAAAGTACATGACGATCACAACCGTTGCCGCCAGAACCAGCAGCAGAAGTGCCAGGCCCCCATTACCCAGTACAACTTGCGTCTGGGGCGGTAGACAATCCCTGAGCCTGAAGTGCGGGTGCATCTCCTGGCTCCGTGTTCTTCCCTCATGGGGTAGGCCACTGTGTACTTGTCCTGCAGACTACCCTGTGGGTACGGGTGTCCGTTGAGATGGCGTGAGGTATAGATGCTGCTGTAGTCGTCACTGCTGTAGGATCCCTGCTGATGGTGGGGTAAGTGCTGGTGGTGCAGGTAGGGGCTTTGCTGCCGGTGGGCGTATGGAAGCTGATAGTGATTTTCCGAATCACCACTGTGGTGGTGGTGGTGGTTGTGGTTGCTGCTGTTGCAGTTGTTGTTGTAGAGTAGTCTTTCTTGTGCTGATATCTCTGTGTCTTGTGTATCGTAGTGTCTATCGAAGTTCTTCATTTCCAGGTGGGTCATAATCTGTGGGATCAGAACAAAAGATGGGTCATAATCTGTGGGATCAAAACCCAAGATGGGTCATAATCTGTGGGATCAGAACAAAAGATGGGTCATAATCTGTGGGATCAGAACAAAAGATTCAATGGGTCTCACATCTGGGCACGCAGGCTTGCCTTGTTTTCCACACTAAAACACAAATTTTTCACTCAGTTAGAAGGAGAGAGACGAGAAAAAGGAGAGGAGGGGGTAAGTACACAAAAAGGAAGGTTTGTGTTTGGTTGAAAGAGGGAGGGGGAGGGGGGAATCATAGATGTAGTGCTGTATATTTTATATGCCAATCTGAGCAGCATCGTTGCTATCGTAAATACCCATTGGGCCGACTTTACTTCTCTCAGAAATTTCTCGGTATCCCAGTTTGTAAAGGCAAGGCTGACTTTGGAGCAAGGTTAATTTACAATTTAAAAAATGCGCCGAAGGGCGAAACTTGGAAGATAAACTGAATGTTGTCACTGCTGACAGAAGCCGTATCGGCTAGCATACTGCGGGGGAAGGGGGAGGGAGTGAACTGTGCTGCTGTAAAACTGGTGACGGAATATGGACTCAGGGATTCCCAAACTGTAAATGTGCTGCTGTAAAACTGGTAACGGAATATGGACTCAGGGATTCCCAAACTGTAAAAGTGCTGCTGTAAAACTGGTGACGGAATATGGACTCAGGGATTCCCAAACTGTAACTGTGCGGTAAGGGAGCCCACACAACGAGGACACGAAGAAATCCGTGACTAAACACGGGCATAATTAGGATATAAGCTAATTCTCATGAATTCCCTCCTTGTGTGTGAAGACGAATTATAATTAATGTACGACAATGACGATGACTGTATATGGATAAATATTTGAAAAGAGAACTTCAATATACGAGAAGAGGGCGGGTAAGAGATTTTACCCTCGAGCCTCTCATACTGTCTCTAAACTCAAAGGCCTAAGCTTCCCTCGCACAACCTATGTTTCAGAACCTCTGGTGCCTCAGCAGCGCAGAGGCGCCAGAACGATCCACGGGGCGGTAGAAGTTTTATGGTCGTATCTTTCATAGAATGAGTATTTCATCTTGGCTCTATGTTGTGCGTGTAGAGAAGCCACGTCTACCCGGCAACACACAATGTCTAGTCATTCTACAGAAGTCGCGTCTACCTGAAAACATACAATGTCTAGTCATTCTACAGAAGTCGCGTCTACCTGAAAACATACAATGTCTAGTCATTCTACAGAAGTCGCGTCTACCTGAAAACATACAATGTCTAGTCATTCTACAGAAGTCACGTCTACCCGAAACATACAATGTCTAGTCATTCTACAGAAGCCACGTCTACCCGCCAACATACAATGTCTAGTCATTCTACAGAACTCACGTCTACCCGGAAACATACAATGTCTAGTCATTGTCAGAGGCCAGTTCGGCTATGGGAAACACCGCAGATGATAGTGTATCATCACGTTTGTACAAGTTGACCTTCAGTACAACTCAGTATGAGAGCGGACAGCTTGACCACGCAATAAACTGGGCTCAGTTAACAGGCCGGGTCCAGTTCACTCAGTCGACACGGATTGCTGCGTGTTGAGCCTTGAACTCAGGGGGAAATACAAAAGGCTTTGGCCGAGTTTGTTTTTGGAGAGTTCTGTGCGGGGAGACATAGAGACAAGACGGTACAAGTGACTAGGTAAGAATTAGGTTTAGCGACGGTTAGGTGGAATAGGGTATTTGTATGTAGTATTGACGATAGGCTGTGTTTCTATTTAATGTTTAGACTAGATAACATAGAGTCAAGGTTCTTTGTGTAGTAGACATTCCATGCAGTATTTGTTTGAGCAGTTAGTTAATCAAGGTGACGCGCATTGTAATGGCGATAACACTGCCCGGTCACGCCTAGGCCTTACACCTTACATGTATCGCTGAGTCCCGTTTGGCAATAGACGGCGGATTGATTGGCACTGAGATACTGTCAGCTAAGAATCGTGTTCCCTAGATCCATGGGAACTGGCCTGGGTTGATAAGTGAGTGTAAAGCTGTCATCGCCAATGGGGTTTCGGATGGGAACTGCTTAGCCCAGTTGAAGTGTCTTACGTCTAGTTGTTCATTGTACATTAAAGATTATGTTTGTAATCAGCAGGAGTGTTGTCTTAGGTGTGTCTGGGTAGTTAAGTCTGTCAGCTGGCCTACCTAGCGAGTCACATAAAATACGTAGATTAGATTAGGTCCCTGACAGTCATTCTACAGAAGTCACGTCTATCCGGAAACATACAATATCTAGTCATTCTACAGAAGTCACGTCTACCCGGCAACTTACAATGTCATTCTACAGAAGTCACGTCTACACGGAAACACACAATGTCTAGTCATTCTACAGAAGTCACGTCTACCCAGAAACACACAATGTCTAGTCATTCTACAGAAGTCACGTCTACCCGGCAACATACTATGTCTAGTCATTCTACAGAAGTCACGTCTACCCGGAAACACACAATGTCTAGTCATTCTACAGAAGTCACGTCTACCCGGCAACATACAATGTCTAGTCATTCTACAGAAGTCAGTACTTACTCGACTACCCAGCAACATACAATGTCTAGTCATTCTACATAATTGTCTACCCGGCAACATAGAATGTCTAGTCATTCTGCAGAAGTCACGTCTACCAGGCAGCCCACGATGATCAACAGAACACATCCTACATATCCTGTTCAACCTTGGTCCAAAAGTTCTATCGAGGGCACCCATAGCGGCCACGAAATCATGATACAGCGTCTAGTTCTGTGCGAGCAAGCAATATGTTTCAGCGAGAAATGAGCCAAACAAGTTTGGGAACCTTTGTGCTGGCTAGCGTCCCCTGGCAACAGGCGATCCCGGACAGAATGAGATGAAAGTGTTTTGTTCTCTGCCAACAGTGTTTTGTTCTCTGCCAACAGTGTTTTGTGTGTGTGTAGGTGTTATTAAAATGTCTGTACATAAATCTGAGAGTATCAGAGTAACAGTTTGTTTGTGGGGCAGGTGGGGGGGGGGGGGGGGGGGGGTTGGTGAAGAGGGTGTGTATGGAAGCGGTAGAAAAAAAAAAGGGGGGGGGGTGCTTCATTTAGAGCTCCATGAAGTGCATGAACAACAACTGTGGCAGGACAAGGGGAGTAAATATCATGGCAGGCTTTATGGGCACACACGCAGACCAGTGCACATATCTACATAGCTAGAGGTCACAGAGAGATCCTAGGGTGCACTGACAGATACCCACTAGAGTGCACCGACAGACACCCACTAGAGTGCACTGGCAGAAGCACACTAGAGTGCACTGACAGAAGCACACTAGAGTGCACCGACAGACACCCACTAGAGTGCACCGACAGACACACGCTAGGCTGCACTGACAGACACCCACTAGAGAGCACTGACAGACACCCACTAGAGTGCACCGACAGACACCCACTAGAGTGAACTGACAGACACAAATTAGAGAGCACTGACAGACACACACTAGAGTGCACCGACAGACACCCACTAGTGTGAACTGACAGACACAAATTAGAGAGCACTGACAGACACACACTAGAGTGAACTGACAGACACCCACTAGAGTGAACTGACAGACACCCACTAGAGTGAACTGACATACACCCATTAGAGAGCACCGACAGACGCCCACTAGAGTAAACTGACAGACACCCACTAGAGTGAACTGACAGACACCCACTAGAGTGAACTGACAGACACACACTAGAGTGAACTGACAGACGCCCACTAGAGAGCACCGATAGACGCCCACTAGAGTGAACTGACAGACACCCACTAGAGTGAACTGAGAGACACCCAATAGTGAGCACTGACAGACACACACTAGAGTGAACTGACAGACACCCACTAGAGTGAACTGACAGACACCCATTAGAGAGCACTGACAGACACCCACTAGAGTGCGCTGACAGACACCCACTAGAGTGAACTGACAGAAGCACACTAGAGTGCACCGACAGACACCCACTAGAGTGCACCGACAGACGCCCATTAAAGTGCACTGACAGACGCCCACTAGAGTGCACTGACAGACGCCCACTAGAGTGCACTGACAGACACACACTGACTGCACCGACAGAAACCCACTAGAGAGCACTGCCAGACACCCTCTAGAGTGCACTGACAGACACACACTAGAGTGCACCGACAGACACCCACTAGAGAGCACTGACAGACACACACTAGAGTGCACCGACAGACACCCACTAGAGAGCACTGATAGACATACACTAGAGGGCACCGACAGACACCCACTAGAGAGCACTGACAGACACACACTAGAGGGCACCGAGAGAAACCCACCAGAGAGCACTGACAGACACACACTAGAGTGCACCGACAGACACCCACTAGAGAGCACTGACAGACACCCACTAGAGTGCACCGACAGACACCCACTAGAGAGCACTGATAGGCATACACTAGAGGGCACCGACAGACACCCACTAGAGAGCACTGACAGACACACACTAGAGGGCACCGAGAGAAACCCACCAGAGAGCACTGACACACACACTAGAGTGCACTGACAGACACCCACTAGAGTGCACTGACAGACACCCACTAGAGTGCACTGACAGATAAGCATCAATTGACTAGTCACCCACAGACACTAGGGTATTACCTCAACAAGCATCCAGACAAACGTGGCCGCCCATCAACTTGTTGGGACGTTGAGAGACCAGCATCGGTTACCTGTGATGACACACACAAAAACAGCAGGTAAATCACACAGTATGTTTAGTCTATAGTCGATTTACTAAACATGACAATAAATCACACAGTGCGTTCAGTCTATAGTCGATTTACTAAACATGACAATAAATCACACAGTGTGTTCAGTCTATAGTGGAGTTACTTAACATGACAATAAATCACACACTGTGTTCAGTCTATAGTCGATTTATAAAACACTAGCTGTACCCGGCCACGCGTTGCTGTGGCATAGTTTGGCTAAATGGAAA